GGAAAGGTAACTGTGCTGTGCTTGCTTGATTATTCTAAAGCCTTTGATGGAATGAGTCACAAAATGTTGTTTTCAATATTAAATCATATAGGGTTGAGTCAACAAGCAATAAGTCTCCTGATAGATTATTTATCAGATAGGGAGCAACAAGTAACAGTAAATGATTACCTTTCAGATACTGTATTGATAAGAGTCAGATGCCCACAGCGATCAATATTATTCCCTCTATTGTTTAACATCTATACAAACTATTTTAAAAATATGTTATCCCATTGCTTTGCGGATGATACGCAGATTTACTATTCTTTTTGAAACGACTGGTTCAGCTTTCTGATGGACATGGCTTACGCGTCAACCCACAAAAGACAGAACTAAGGATGTTTGGCCCAAAATCAGTTAAACAACGATTAATAAACAAAATTAAAATTAAAATTAACAACGAGTAGTTGGTATTTAGTAAGTCTGTGAAAAACTTAGGTTTGGATGAAAATTTAAAATTTGATTTGCACATTAATAAATGCCTACAGAAGGCGTATAGCTCACTGAAACTTATTTATTCTAATCGGGCGTACATAAATGAAGCATCTAACCGATTACTATGTGACAGCATAGTGTTATCACATTTCAATTATACTGACTGTCTGTATTACCCATTTCTAACGTATGCGCTTAAATATAAAATCCAAAAAGTGCAAAACTCTTGTATACGTCTATTGTTTGGGTTGAGGCGAAGGGTCCATGTAAGTTATAAATTGTCGGAAATAAGGTGGTTAAACATGCAATCGAGACGAATGGCACATGTGGCGTTGCTGTTTCGCAATTTACTAGTTGGAGAAAAGCCTGCATACTTATTTGGAAAAATTTCTTTTCGCTCCGATGTGCACAATCTTAATCTAAGATTTAAGGGAACGCCAACACCGCCTTTAGATAGAACAGATTTTTTTAACATTAGCTTTATCTACCAAATTTATCAAATATTTAAGGAGTTAATGGTAAAGCTTGGGATATGCTCTTCGGTGGGGAGGTTTAGAAGGGAAATAAAAATAACACTAATGCAGGGTCCAGAGAGTTTGTAAGGATGGAGTGGGGTATAGTTTGTGTTTCTCTTGTTTGCTTTGCGGTATTTGATTATTAACTTTGATTATTGACTTGAATTAGATGGTGTATTCTCGTGTGATTATTTAATTGAATAACGGGCTAGTGGAAGAACGGCGTCAGTCAAATTAGTCCATATTGAGCGCACTAAACTGCGTTTTCTTCTTCTTTTCAACCCAAAAATTATAAAAACCACGTATTATTGCGTATCTAAATGATTACAGCATCATAACGGTGATTAACATTGTGCTTGTGCAGTGTACTAAAGTTATATACCACTGCATAGAGCGGTACTAAAATGGTATTTTGTACTAAAATTTCTTTATATAAGGTTCTGAGAAAATTTGACCGATTATGTATTCATTATTCGTTTTGTATTTAGTTTGTTACCATTTTTCAAACAGTCAATACTTTAAATACTGTTTTTATTTAATACTCACAGTAAAACTCATCATAAGTCACAAAAGTCCAGTATTACAAAAGTTTTTGCAAAGATCGAATTCATTTTTGTATCGTACAGCACTTTTTCTCATCCGCAGTTCTTTAGTTATCATTCTGAGTGATCCTGTCGCGATAAGAACAATACTCTTCTATTGGTAACTACTTCATTACTGAGGATTTCTAGAGAAATTCGATACAACAGCATTCTATATATCTCGATGTTGTGTTTGCTTCCTATTACTCATTCACTAAAACCCTATTTAACGATGAGAATCGCCTAAACTGAACTATTATGGATTCTTAAAAGTAACTACGGTTTACTAAATCCAAAATTTAGGCAAGTTTTAGTATAAATAACCTTTTTCGAGGAAGTGTGACAATCTTCTCATACGGTGCATATATTCAAAATCGCAATGAGAGCTTCTCCACAATCTGAGCGGTGGCCCCTAAAACAAAATCTAGTGGCAAGGCGAAGTTTTGGATATTGTGACCCAAATTACAGTATGTGTGGTACAATAATAGGATGTTACCTGTAATGGAAATTTTAGGCATTAAAATTGGACCCCATTGTTATAATTTCTGCGTCGAAGCCGACACACGCCGCGCCGTGTGCAACAAGCAGAAAAATCAGGCGTCCGCAAAATCTTTGCGAAAAGAAGAAAACGTAAACTACGAAGGCCATACCAAAATATTAGAAGGCTTACAAGGCCATATTAAAGGTACAGTAAAATCTCGATATAATAATTTAGTATGTACTTAGGAAAAAGTTAAATAAAAAAATCTGTACTAAATAACTTTTTGTCTTTGTTCTAGCTTGGAAGTTGTAGCTGAAACATTTTTAAACACCTGTATATTGCAAATATGAAGTTTATATGATGTATAACGTCCCAGCGTATGTTGTAACTAAATAATTATTAGAACTTCCTAAATCCTTGAATGGTTTTGTTTCAATTAATAAAATGTGGGCCGATCCTTGCTGTACTGCAATGCAAGGCCAACCCGTGACGGAAGTGGAGCAAGCCCCTACACCTTCTGTCAATTCCCAAAAATCAGTTTAATATACTGGCTCCGCATGCGGAGCGTATCAGATATTAAGCTGATAAGAACAGATACTACACTTTGATCTTAGCCATAGGCCGAGAAGCGATACCTTAACCATCCAAACACACATCTATTAGTCCAAATCTTCATAACTGCTATAATAAGACTAAAAAACTACCCCCTAGGAGCCACTAGCGCAACACACGAAGGGAAAATTTTAAAGATTCCATCTACCATAACGGTTGATTTCAAATAAAAAAGTATGTACACGTTTTTATATTTTTCGTTTTAACTATTTATCATAATTATTAAAATTGAGGTTAAACCTAAAAATATATTATCTAATGATTTAATAGAAATTAAATAATTGTTTAGTATATAGATATAAATATTAAAATATCTACCATTTCTTTTTGATTAACCCTAGATTTATTTTCGTCCTTTAATCGAACGTGTCGAAAATTATTAGGACCCTGCAACCATTGTATTAAAATAACCAAAACTTCGGATCCACTTTTCGGAATTCGGTTAAAAAATAAAATATAAGAATTTGTATCATCCATAGGTCCAAGTTCATCCAGCGACTTCGTAACGTGCCTAAACGGTGGTGCTGTAAATTCCCTATGAATCATAACCATTTCGTTTGTGGTTGTTTTAATATCCACCATCACGTTCGGCTTCTTATAAGCAAAGTTCACAAATAACACCACAAATAAAAAAATTGGCACGCTCAACGCCGTCGTTTTCACCCGCATTTTATTGTTATAGCAATAATTTTCAGCCTCGCGCACCACGTTATTCTGATCTTCACTCTTGACGATAGAAACCGACAATGTAAAGGTGAAAGGTAAGTTCTGTTCATTTTGTATTGGGACCTCTCCTACCCATCCGGACAACTCCCAATGTTCTTTTTGCTCTCGCCGAAATGAAAGTGAAATGAAACCGACTTTGTCTGCAGAAAGGAAATGTGACGTGAACTATATTGTTGTTTGCAGATGGAGAGATAGAAACTTCTGCATTACTCTTTTCTTTGTTTCCGTAAACAGACGAATTGGATTTAATTAAATGTGAAATAAAATGTAATGTCATAATAACATTTGTTGGATTGTATCGGTGATGAATCCATATAAGTTATTAGAAAGTAGATCGATATTCTTCCGAAACATGATCCTTTAGCATTTTTTTAGCATTAAATATTAAACTTTCTAATAATTTTTAATAGCATATCCTTTTGTATAAGATATGTTAACGATATTTTGACGAAAACGTTCAAACTCATTTAAATATCAAAACGAGAAGAGGAATTTTTTAATAATAAACACATAAACTTATAAAGAGGAACTTTAACCTTTCAGCGAACAATGCCAAAAGTCAATCTATTTCGAACGATTACTCAACAAATTAACAACGAGATTTATTTTGAATGATATCGTAAAGGTCGTAATAAACGTGTGAGAGCTTTCAAATGCATCAACGTAAACTGACAACGTTAAATTACCATGTTGATTTTAGATGCAAGAAGAAAATTAACTCATTTAATTGTAACCAATTGTGTACAATCTGTTATTTTTATATATGAATTATTTATTATTTGGTTTTATGATGCATATTGTGGTCAACCTAAACACGAAAACAGGGAGTCAAATCTATATTTCTGACCAAAATAATCCTTATTGAGGTTCGAATCTATTTATCGCCCGACCGGAAATATTCTACTACATCAAATAGCCAAAGTATCCATTTTAGTTTTTCTCATCATAACATCATCAACTGATCATAACAACAAATATCGAGAAATGTTGGGTTGGGTTGGGTTCATTTCTATACTTTTGCGGCTTCCTATGAAGGTGAGGGGTGCCAGGGATGATTGAAACGATGTTTAGATGTATAAGGAGCGATATAAAAGAATGTATCTGAGACAACATTAAGGGTTGACAATATTAAAGGATATTTGGAATATGCTAAATGATGTGATAAGATATTCAGAAGGATGTTAAAATGTGTTTGAGATGGTATATGATGCCTAGATTTGTTTGGGACTATGTGGAATGGTTGAAAGAGACAACATGGAAATGTGTGGAGGAATATTTGGGATGATGCCGAAAAACGGCTACGGTGATATTAAGGAATGACCGAGATGATGCTAGAATGTGTAAGAGCTAATATAGAAGGATGTCTCGAACATCCTTGATGGTTGTCCCGGACATCAATAGTGGAATTTAATAGTCACGGAAAAAGTTTATTTCTCTTTCCATATCGAATCTATTGGTGAGTACAGATGTCCCAATTTCGATGTCCGCATACGCTATCTCCGAAACTAAAAGAGATAGAAAAAAAGTAGCTTACATGTCATGATCTCGTTTTTCGAGAAAATGCTAACGATGAAAACTCCGAACAGCTATCGTCTTTTGTTTTTGCCCTATCGGCAAAAACTGAAAATTTTGCAAAAACGACACTCGCGAATATCTCACTTATTATCAAAGATGGAGTATTATAAATAAAACATTACATGGTCAACTTTTTACGAAGAATTCAGTGGCGTAGGTAGCATTTTTTTCCCCATCATTTATTTTCGAGATTTTAGACGTAACTTTATTTTTTTAAATGGAAACCATAGTTGGCTATGACTTAAAATAATTTGTTATTTTCTTCTGATAACAAATATATATAGTTTGTGGGGTATATTTCTTATAGTTATTGAATAATTAACAAAAATTCATTTTGTTCTATCTAAA